CCGATCATGTGTAGATATGGCACACTAATGTCTTCGTATTTCAAGTCTTGTGATGATTTCTGACCTAACGATTTCTCGCATGCTTCAGTTGTGCACACAGAACCAGTATTTGCTTCTTGGGCTGGATCTACTGCTTCTTCATGATGGCTCAAAGAACCATCTTTAAAGTTTGCATCTCTTGAGTCTGATGAATCATTAGCTTCTGCCACATCCTCTGTTTCACTGCCAAGGGGCTGGGAACACACATACAGTGTAATCTGCTGATACAGAGTAACAATATATACGCACTAAGAACAAACAGCACAGATCGAAGAAAGAGTCGTATGAACATCAGTGGTTTGTGAAAACAGATGTAATGAATTTGTACTGTGCCCAAAATTTAAAAAAAAAATTATAGGTCACGTTTTCATTGGAAGATGATCTATTTTTTGAATACAGCATGGATAAAAATTTGAACTAGTTTCATAAAATATGGTAAGTATATGCAGATGGGCAGTCAGTATAGTAAATGACAACAGGGTGAACAACTGAAAAGAACAAAATATTCTTCTCTTAGCCTCTGTATCCAAAATATAATTATATGTAAATATTTTCAACTCAGATGGTATTAGAACATGAATATGATGAAGGGGGGAAAAATGGGAAATTATATCATTAAATTCTCATTTGGGAAAAAAATAAAATCCAAACAAATAAAATACATACATAAAAAAGAAGGCAATCCAATTTATGCAGGATCTGAATTAATGAGGTTATACTGCATGTTGGAAAATTATAAGAGAGTTAATACATATTTCACTTAATTTTTAACAAACATATTTTACAGCTTCAATTAAATTCTGTAAGACATCACCAATCCAATCTGATTATCACCTAATATGGTAGTCTGTACCATCTGATAAAATATTTTATGGCCAAGATTATTTCTTAAGTCACTACAATATTAAAACACACTTAAAACCTGTTCTACTAATCTATGTAATGACATATTTGTAAATATACATACAGTTAAAAAAAAACAAGTGATCCTTACTAATTTCTATACTTACATTTTCTTGGTTATTGCTGCCAAATGATAGAAACAATTCACTACTTAACTCTGTGTCATCATTACACAATGAGGGTTCTTCTTTCAAAACAATCTGAAAATAGAAGTACACAGACTACTCTGTCATACAAATATCTGCATATATATATATGTTTGTCACTCCTTTACTTTTGGGCTAATACATAAAAAACTGGCTGAATTCTTTGTTGCTAAAATACGGAAAATATACTTCAAAAAAAATTTTAACCAGAGTTAATTTGAGATAAACTGATCTCTTCAAACATCTTCATTCAACTGCATCGCACCATCAACCACAAATAGTATTCACATTGGGTTACAAAGTTACTTCCTAAAAATATGAATAAATTACCTGAACTGATGGCTCATGTGGCTGTTGGTTGTTTAGGTATTGTCGCAAGGTAGCATTTGACCTCTCGCACTGCAGCTTAAATTTGTAAGATTTGTTGACCTGAGTGATACATTCCTTGCATACCTGGGCTGGCAGACCATCTCCAGCAAAAACCTGCATACACATCGTTTTATAATGACATGTTAAGCTTTGAGGTAGCTAATACCTTGCCATCTACACACGGATCAGTTGTGAATATACTGAAAAGCAAATGTTGATAGCTCACAAGAGACGATCCTTCAAGGTCGTGTGAGGAGCATAACTTTTACTTTAACCATATCTAGACCCTTGAAATTGGCACTACTATATTTGCTGCAACCAGTATTACTTTGTATCATGCAAAGGTTAAAATGGCAGTGTTTTATTGTAATTTCAATATAGAGAATGTTTCATTTAAACCGCAGGACTGACTACCATACATAAACCCATTAATGCACAAAAAGATGAAACCAATGACAATATTAAATTCTTGCAGACGTATCCCACTGCTGCAGCTGACGCACTTGAAATTAGTATGGCCGTAATTTCAGCTGTTTTTTCACTTGATAAACACTTGTTGCGGACAAACACTACCCGTGTACCTAACATTTTTTTACTAGTTCATGAGTTTTCTTATTTGGAACCTCCTTGTATGTATATGCATTGCTAAATGGTTCCCAAACAGCAGAAAATGATTTTAACGTTAAGTAATGTTCAAGAACGAACACATGTACTGCTCATGAATACACCATGTTCACAGCTGCAAAACTTCTGTGCAACTGGCATGAGGAGCAGCCTAGCAACCAGGGTGACCTTTACTCAAGGGTCACATGAGTGATTGGAAAGAAGGGACTATTACATGGTTACTAGTTTTTACTGAAAATTCCTTATGTGTACCTTACACTTCCCTAACCTCTACACTTACCTCTATTGTAGGTGATATACTGTGGATTTTTTCTTGTACTTTCTCTGCAGTATTAAAGAGAGGCAGAAGTGTCTTATAATCACTCAAGCAAAAGCGGCATATTTTGCTGAAGTTCAAGGTCATGGTTTCATTCATCCTGTATACTAACTGAAGATATACAACATTTTAAACTCTCATTACAAATCAAAGAATGGTACAGTATGTAATCTTCTCATTATGTCCAGTCTGGCAGCCTAATGAGATGAAAGACTTACAGATCAAAATGATTACCAAGTGCAGTTATAAAACTTTTCAAAGATGCCCTCTGGTAAAGCCACATACAATTATTCTAATGCAGTGATATCTAATTTGTGTTCAACAAAATCCTCATATTTTATTCTGAGTTCCCAGATGATCTAAAAATAAATGTCTATAATGGTAGATTTCACTTAAAATACCATTCCACATTCAATGAACTCCCTTTCATTCACATCTGGAATAGTTTACTCTTAAATATGTATAAAGGTGCAATGTACAAACAAATCCACTTTGCCACATGCTTATGTAAAACTGGAATTCATTATTCAGCAACAAAACTAGAATAGACAGAAAAAAGGTTTGTGTAATCATCCAGCATCCGTTATTAATAAAAGTATTGATCATAGTTCATCCAAGATGATTTGATCATTAAGTACAATACCGCTCACAACTTTTATTGAAGACATAACAAAGAAATCCCATTGTAATGACTTCTTATAAACTAATAAATTACGAAGGCAATGAAGTTGTAGAATGTATCTCCCAGCAGCATAATTATTTTCTTCTAATGGCCCACAAATTTAATCACAGTTACTGCTGTTTGTATTCTGGGTTGTAATGCCGCGTGGACTTGTTTGTAGACACAACCTTTCAGAGAAACATACTGTCTCCATCTTCAGCGCTGAAGATGATAATACGTTTCTTTACATGGCGTTACAACCCTGACGAATAACATCGGTATCTTCGCCGCCATAAGAACCTCAAATCTCACTTAAAAGCAATTAAATTACAAACGTTACTGAAGTTGTTTACGCATCTTAACCACACTTTTCAATACATGCTGAAATCAATGTTTAGTACATACATTAGGTGTTAAAATTCACGTGGAATAACTGCTGACAGACCTGAATAAATTTAAATCAATTTTTTGGCAGATATGCTGTCTTTCACAATCTAAAACAGAAACCAAAAGTCAACAAAAACAAGAAACAACACCATCCATGACACATCCTGTAACCACGTGAAGTTAGGTCTTGCGTATGTAATACCAACCCAGTCATCTGTGGGTTGGTATTACATGTGTGGCTTACTAACCATAATTTTATGACCACGCAATTGAATAAATGTTACCAACGAGCCATTTAGGTTAAATAGAAGAGAATTGATTTCCGTTTCACACTTCCTTCTATTCTAATCTCATAACGATGGCAATATGTAGGTCTAAAACTTTACCGCTGATCTGGTGGATATCGTTACTTCTTGTGAATAAAATTACAGATATAATAGTATGTATCAATAATTACGTGCACTATACTGGGAACGATCCGTTCTTCAAGTGCCTGAGCACTGCGGGTCCCAACTTTTCGTTGGTTTGATCTATAGACATTCGGTAGGACTCCTTGAACGAGGGATCAGCCCGTCGCAAGGCATCTACCTATACCCAGGACAGCACAACATGGAAAAACATCCATGGCTTGAGTGAGATTCGAACCCACGGTCCCAGTGACCAAGCGGCACAAGGCCCACACCTCAGACCGCGCGACCACTGCGCATCCCACGTGCACTATAAAGGATATTATATTGTGAAATTTAATGGGAACACAAATGATCCATTCAAGGAATCAATGGCATTCATTGACATGACTGCAAAAAGAAGACATGAATATAACATAACCAAAATTTCTTCTTGTATCAATGTAGAATTTTTTTTTACCTATGCTCCTGAAGAATATCAGCATGTTACACCAGCATGATCTATCTGGAGGCCAGTGGGCCATATCTGCCTTAAGACTGAAAAATAAATGAAATTGGATATTCATTTCCAAAAATAATGCCAGGAAACAAAGGCCCCATGTTTAGAAGACATAAGGTGGCTAGGCTGGCCCCTATGCTTAAAGAAACTGAGTATGTAACAAAGCAACAATCTGTTACTGAATATGTATGTAAATGAAGACAAAAAAAACATTTACAAACACATGTGGAATCCATGAAATATTAATGTAAATCATCATCCACTTAAAATATGTGTAGATTACTTTATTTTTAATATACACACACATTATCTGAAATATATACATACACCATGACTAATAATATGGGTGACAATGTAAGCATTATATGTGAATAGCCAACGTTATCAGTGATGTGAGTAAGCTGAGTATAATTTTCGAGGAATATGTTAACAAAGTCAGTGGAAATGCAATACAATTTAAGTAACTAATATTTAAATGTATTAGCACCATCAAATACAACATTTACCATTCATCTCTGGATGTTTTGGTCTCATATGACCACCCTCAGGGGAGTCATCATATATTAAAAGGATTATATAGTCCGCGACTGTAATCTTGAGACTTGCGGGGTGAGGAAGTGGGGTGAAGGAGGAAAGATAGCGTCTGCCTTTAATGCTTCGGACTTCCTGCATTCCTTGCAAGTCTCAAGATTACAGTCGCGTACTGCACACACTTATATTATGAATTTGTCCCACACTCTGGCGACAAGACATAATGGTATACTTGTTCTTTTCTGCGTTTCTTTCTAGACCAAGCAGATTTTCTGTATTCTTATTTAATGCTCCATCACCAGCATACTCCAGTGGTTGATGTGTTCCATTTGACTATAATCTCACCTGATTTTCCTCACCTTCTTAATGGCATATCCCAAAGTGATGTTAAAAAGCAGTGGTGATAAAGTATCTCCATGTTTCACACCATTCTGAATAGAAAATGTATCAAATGAATGTTAACCTGTTTACTACCAGTTTTGTTTAAACATACTTTGATTAGCCTAACTAGTTTTTTCAATATACCAAACTGGATGAGAATGTTGTACAATATTTCTCTCTTGATTCCCAGGCTTTCTAGATGTCTGTAAATAATAGATGTATTGTCCAATTGCACTTATAATTTTTCTTCTCTATCTGACAAACACAGAAAATGTGATCAGTAACTGATCTATGGGCATCAAGTTATAAACCAGATAGTGTTAACATCACCAAGAGAAGGCTGGAAGAGAGATATTCTCCAATTATGATTCTAATCAGTTTTATCAACCCTTTTATGCGTTTTCTGCACAATTTACATCAAACGAATACATAAAGTGCTGATTTTGTCAATCTGACTGCACGTTTCAAATCAGTAACTGACTGAAAGATTTTATGAAATATGGTATGGATGTTATGCCATTAGAGGCTATCCAAAATTCATATTTTTTTAATATCTTATGATTGAAAATACTAACATGGCAATGGCAGACATACCAGCATTACTTAATACAGTCCTGAAATGATGTACAGCAACACATCATTTAAATATATACAACTTCACTTTTTTTAATTCTCTTGTACAATGTAAAAACTACAACATGGCAGCTTCATGACAACAACAAAAATGCAACTCAACTGGTTTTCAATCACATTACTATATGCAAATGAGTTTAATACATTTAGCACAGAGCTAAATGCATTATACAACAGGGCTAAGGATTTACATTACTTATAGAACACATTACAAACAAGTTATTTATAAAGTCTTTTAAGTACAATAACAGACATTTTGTTTTATGAACACTTATGCTGTTCTCACAATAATCAGTTTCCAACAAATGAATCAATAAAGCAGGAACCTAACCTAACACACATGTTCATGTATTGTTATTATTTTTATTAAAATTGGGAATTGAAATTGGATCCCAATATGTTCCAGTTTCTTTTATAGGTATAATAAAATATTACATCTACTTCTGCACTTATTCTTCTTTATTACACATAAAATTAACAAGTTTCTGCATTGCAGAAAATATTTTGCCTCATGCTTCAATAAATTTGTCTAAAACTTTATCAGTACCTGGTGAATCATACCTTTTCAGCTTTTCAATAATAATTTAACCCATTAACAACTTGTGGTTCATTTTTCAACCACTATATATAAAATTCATTGTAATATTCTGTTTCAACTTTAGTGTTAACAGCTTTCCCTCAAAACACACTGTGGTTGAAAAAAAAAAATCACAATGTACTTCCCAGGTTCTGCCAGCAGATTACAGCACTTCTGGTTTATAGTGGTAAAAAAAGTTGACCAGAGCATTATGCCTTATCAGATTCATCACATGTTCACTTCTCATGAGGTAAAAGGAACATTTTAATATCTATATGATTATTATTCTAAACCTTACATTACACAATGTTTCTATGTTGACCATTACTTGTCTTTACTGTGTAATATTACATTACTTATTATCTATATGAATTTTATTAGCTTTTAAAAACTTGTATTTATTTCTCTTCTCACTTTTTACACTGTGCAGTTGGTACTTCAATTTCCAGTTTCTAATTATATGTAAACCCAGAATGAATTTTGAATTAAAATTTTATTTTTGAATGTCTATTGAACATTTTTGCTGCATAGTTTGGTACAGAATATGCTGAACTCACTAGTTATAGCAAAACAAAAGCTAATTCAGAGTTTTAAGACTTGAGGTTCTCACAGCGGTGAGTATGAAGATTTCTGTCTTCTGGGTTGTTGCGCCGTGTAGACTGGTCGATGTTAACCAACGTTTCAGAGGACATACTCCCTCCGTCATCAGGGCGATGAATGTGAATTACTGATTTTGGTTGTCCTTAAACATTCTAATTTGATGAAAATTCAAACATAACAGTACCATCACATACAAAGCTTTGGATATACATACATTTTACTCTACTGTTAAATAATCTAAATCAGGGTGATATCTGAACGTTTCTGACAATGGTGCATTACAATCTTTCTTGGACTTCATCAGTTGTCTAAATTATAAATAAAACACTGCTTATATTGAGTAATCTTTCAATATAAGGTTAATTTCTGTTACCGTAAATCATAAACATCCCTCCAGGTGTTCATCAGTAAGACACGTCCTTCAGTAAGTTAAACAGATACCCACGGAAATAGTTTCTGCCAAATACCGACAACAAAAAGAAAAGTATTCCTATATACCTAAATAAGAGCTTCACTGAGATTACATTCACTAGCCATGATTTCTAATATGCAATGATCCCTACATACGATGAATTTCTGAAAAGAAAATCTTTCAAGTCCAAAAGACTGTACAAATAGCCAGCAAATAATTCATACCATATATACATATGTTGGCGTGCCAGGTATGTGGCTCTGTTTATGTTTGGCCAATGACGTGTCAAATGGGAAGCCCTTACCACAGATATCACAAGTATGCCTATTCTCACCTGTATGGAGACGCTCGTGACGGCGAAAACTTGAACCATCCGCAAATGCCCTGTTACACACCTGGCAGCTGAAAGGTTTTTCACCCGTGTGTGTCCGTCGGTGAGTCAAGAGGTGAGACTTGGTAATGAACATTTTGTCACAGTTTTCACACTTGTATGGTCTTTCTCCACTATGAATCCTCTTGTGGGCAACAAAAGTTGAACTAGTTGAAAATGTTTTCTGACACACTGAACAACAGTACGGTCTCTCGCCAGTATGTATCCGAACATGTTTCTTCAAACCACAAGAATCCACAAATGAATTACCACATTCATCACATTTGTATCGCTTGATTATCGTTCCATTTGGGCCGTGAGTACGTTCATGCTTGACATATGCAGACCGGTCAGCAAAGCTGCGTCTGCACAGCCTACATTGAAATGGTCGTTCACCTGTATGAACTCTGCGGTGAGTGACGAGATGAGAATTTGTTGCAAAAGCCTTGTTGCAGACTTCACACTGATATGGTCGTTGTCCACGATGGTACCTCATATGGTTCATCAGTGCAGTGCTTGTAGGATAGTTCTTGAAACATATTTCACAAGTAAACGGCCTATCAATATCAACGTAATGCAATCTACGATTATCCTTAATGCACATACTACTGCAATCATTCATACATTTGCAGTCGGTAACAACTCCGTGGCCTAATTGCATGTTTCCAAATTTGCCGTTACTGTCTGTACCACCGAAGTTATGAGCTGACAAGTCTTCAGTCTTTACAGCATGGCCCGTAAGATTACGAGTATTCTCCGCCAAACAAGAACAAGATCCATGGTTACACTGTTGCCCCTGTTGAGGGCTTATGTCACTGCTGCCATCTGTACTTATGACAACAAAATTAGTCTGTACCTTCCCACTTTCAGCTTTAGCATCTGCAATATGATTACCACAGCCCACAGTAGAGCAATTCCTCATGTTTATAATTTTCTGACAAGCACCACTAACAGTAAAGTTTGCAGTTAAGCTCTGGCCTCCACTTTCATCTTGTGCTTGCAACGTTCTCTCGTCATGACACATGTGACTTATTTTTGACATGATACATTTGGTACAATGGCGTAAGTGGCATGCCTTGGACTGAATTCGAGTCATGGGTATATCGCCATCATCCAAGTGGTCACCCACGTTGGTCTTTGCATCGGAATTAAGGGGAAGTAACGGAATTGTTTGCGCATATTTCGAGACAGTATTGGTGGCAGCATCACGGCGCGAGGGATTACCCTCGACCGGAGCGATGGAAGATGGCGGTGAGTTATTACGTTTAACCGAGGCATCACTCGTGTGTTTGTGGTTGAGATTCTGATGCTTGGTAGACTCTGTGTTCGTATTACTTTCATGCTCAGATGTTTCGGTGCTGGGTTCATTTGGATGAAGGGTACGGATGGGGTCAAACAAGAAAATACCACTTGACCTTTGCTGGTTCAAAACATAGTTGAGGAAGGTGTTTGAATCACAAATGTCACCATTTGAAAGGCCACCAATTCCAGCAGGAGTCGTATCTATACGAGAAATTCCTCCTCCAGACTTCAAAGACCTGTAAGAAAAATATATTATAATAGTATCACGCTACCATTATCACTTTCCAACCTACAGTAAGATTTTTCATGTAGAAACTACAATTTTCTGCCTATCTTTGCAGCATTACACCGGCTTATTTGTGTTTTGAAAGGCAGTCAAACTGCACAAAAATGGCCTAAAGGTATGACTAACTGTAAAAAATGAACAACTTGAACTTGTAAAGTAATTCTTTTGCCTTATATTGTACCCAAGAACCAGACACATTACTGGCGGTATTACCATCTATTAAGTCGTCAACTATATGGCTTGTCAGAAATGGAATTTGTAACTTACGATAAAATTGTAACAATATAAAAATGCAATGTTTCTTAAAATTATATTAAATAATTGGACATCAAAGGCTAAGACACAGACTGTTCATGGACTGGAGTACAAATGTGCAGTATATCTTGGTGGAAAGACTCAAAATATTAATATATGAGCTAAAGAAAAATCGCATTTCTTCATAGAAGCAGCACACCATCCACCTAAAGTTATAATGTGGGCTGGAGTCACCAGCGAACTGATTATTGGACCATATTTCTTTGATGCTTCTATGACTGCTGAACATTATCCGGAGCTGATGCGATAAGACGGGCCACCAGCCCACTATGCTACTGAAATGCGTTCTCTCCTGAACAACCAATTTACATTCTGGATTGGATAACATGGACATCTCTCATCTGGCTTCCCAGGTCCCAAGCTGACCATTGTAGGAAATGGTTGTCGTCTTTCATGGAAGAACAAATTATCACAATTTTATATGCAGCAGAAATAAAAATGTTAAATAAAAAATACTATCATGTTGTACCTGTCTCCTTGAATGATAGGGCCTTCATGACTGAAATACATTGCAGATTGGTGGAAGTGCTGAGGTCCTTGCTGACAGCTGTCACTGCCAGATATCTGCCCTGTGGTGTAACATTGCTGAAGCCAGGGAGGCATTTCTGGTATCGCAGAGCACCCCATTGTTCCCCTGTGGTGAAAACAAGGAGCCACTCGACTTCCAGTTCCAGTCGTGTGCTGAGAGTTCTGCATGTCCAGCGATACTGATTTAGAAGGTGCCGGCTCACTTAAAACTTCAGGACACCCTGACGAAGTTCCTTTACGTACGGTGTCCTGTATAGGCGATACCTGAACAGCATAAACAAATCATTCTCTTATTGCTTATTTATTTCGGGAGCATGGCGACTGGTCAATTTGAAAAGTTTTACATCATGACAGGATGAAGGAAGATTCTAAGGCATTATCGCATCATTCTTGTGAAGTAACAGATGTCCCAGGCAGGACAGTCAGTTTCTAATCTTATATTTAAACTGAGAACCACAAACATGGAAGTGTCAATCCTTACATTGTAAATGTTTGGGGTAGGGCAACCTTACCTGAGAAAAATAGTGAAACAGCATTAAAATAGATTTTGATGAACCTACAGAATCAAATTGTTTTTATAATAAACATTCATAAAAATGTGTGTGACTCATGCATGTAACACTTTGATGCCATTTCTTATTTTATCTCGCTTTCCATACACATATGCCACTATGGATGGATGGTGAAATTTGGTATCATCTATTAATATCAAATTTTAAAAATTATAATTTTTGTCCAAACTTGAAAGGTTGAACCACAACTCTGAATTACATATAAATACAGTTTTGAACATACTTTTAAATACATTACTGAACAGAATGAAAAAGTGTGAAATTGTCAGACAAACTTTATGGCCAATCAATAAATTGAATATTTGATGCCACATACATATTTCATACTACATACTGTTTCCAAGATAATTACCATTAAACATTAAGGATGACTTGAGTACACATGGAACACGTGTATTTCTGATATTCTGTACACTTTCCAAGCCTCGTTTTTGTTCATTCTGTCCTCTCTACAGGTAAAGAATAAGTCTGCAAAGGAAATGTAACGTGTAATAATTGTGAAACTTTGGACCATTACGGAGTAGGTACTAAAATCTCCAACTGTGACTCCTTCATAAAAGCTCAATGTATATTAATAAGGGTAAACCTACTAAAATGGTAAATGGTACCACAAGAGATTTCATCACCACCATGTTAATCATCAGGCTACTTTTTAGACTTATAACCTATATTTAAGTATACGTATAATGGTTATTGCAGAAATCGGTTGATTTGTAGACAGTTTGTATTCTTAAGGTACCGGAGCCAAAGTTACAAAGCATTATTCCCACACCACGTGGCTCAACGCATCTTTGGATCTCCCTAAGCGTGATACTGCCGGCAGCTCACACGGTATAGAAATTGTTCTTAAGATTTTATATCGAGGTCGGAGTCGGTACATTTTTACCGACTCCGACCCCACCTAAAATTGCTTCCGACTCCGACTCCACAGCCCTGGCACAAGGTATCAATAATGGTAATTTAATAAAACTAGGGCTAAATCAAAACAGGGACTTACTTAGAATATACCATGGGGCATGCTCTGAGTCCAGCCTTTCTGAAATATGAAGTTCTCACAGCTGAAAATGATTGATATTGGTCTTCTAGGTTGTGATGTCATGTGGACTTGTAGACAGACACCATTTCAGAGAAGCATACTATAACCATCATCAGGGCTGAAGTTCTGCACTTGACTCAATCTTCAGCACTGAAGATGGAGACATTATATCTCTCTGACACACTGGTATCCACCTGTAAGTCCACATAGCATCACAAGAACATTGTTAATTTGGTAATTTAACTTTAAATCAGGATATAACAATATATACCGTGTTAGTAGATATCTCTGCAGAACAAGTGTCTTCGTTATTTTCAAGTTTGACACTAACAAAACATTCTGGCAACATTTGAGTCAGACGATCAAAGTTGGAGTCCTCATCTTCCTCCCCATGGGCACCTCCATTGCTCAATGAGACATTGGTGGTAGCGGTGGCTGTAGTGCTGGTAGAAGTGACGGTGGCAGCAACACCAGTTTCTGATGATGTCGGTGTGCCACTGCAGGATTCCATGTTCTTGCATCATTGCATTGTTTCTGATCCCACCCTGCAGAAGTAAAAATACTGGTAAGTATGAACTACAAATTTTGCACTGAACCTTGTGTGAAAATCAATCAGAAGAATGCTTTGTAACAGGATGGGAACGGTTGGGTGGACCAACTGTCTTCATGTGATTGTCGGCTGCTTTCAGTCAGGTCGCTCAGAACAAAGCTGAATTCACAGGTGTTTCCAAAGCATATCTTATAGTTGAGTAATGTGGTTCAGGCCAGACTCACAATGGCTAAAGGTGGGCAATGAGAATGAGAGTGTATAAACTTTAAGAAAACATTTCAGATACAAACTATTACTTCATTAAACACAGTTTTCTAACACTACAGAGTGTATATTCTGTACATCACATTTTTTAAATAATAACAATTACAGTTCAAGATAGTGATGTAACACTCACTGGAAACTCCGCTACTTTTTAACAGATGTGAATGCTACTAATCTATGAAACTTTTGATAAGACAAAGTTAAATTAATGGTCTGTACCTTACATTCGCTTCCACGTGTGAAAGGTAGGTCTGATACTCTACCTAACCTCATTTCTATTCAATAATTCTTGCATAAACCAGTAATATTAATATCGTAGTACTAAACTGACACACAATGAAAGTATGGTTATCAAGATGTTTGTAATCATCTGACAGTACTATTGTAATTTTTAATAAATTCGCGGCATTAAATTCTGAGAAACACGAACTTCCATGTTAAAAAAATGATTGACGGGGTTTTTCGTTTGAGGCAAAACTTTAATTACTATAAATACGGTACTAACATTCCCAAACTGACAGCTAAAGAAAGACAAGTATGATAATTGTAGTCATTTTAGATAACATAGTTTACAATAATGTAATAATTCTAAAAACACCAGCGACAATGTGAATGAAAAAAGACAACCCGTGCCCAACAAATATGCCCAACGACGTCCATTCGCTTTACGCATGATACTACAGATGTATTATACAAAATGTTGTTTGAAATGCCATATTCTAATTACATATAAATAGCCATACCCACCGTGAATCCTTCACCACATCCCTAATCCACATAATACGTAATCTTTCCCAAAAATCATAGACCTTCGTTTTCTCAAAACCACCTATCGATCAAATATACACTAAGGAAGTCAACTGCGTTACCAATTTCGTTTCAATAGTATCAATTGGTAACAATATTCATGCAATGCAAATGCAAAAACATATTATTGCATTTATAGCATACATGTCAGCCTACGTTCAGTACCAAGTGAAAAATGAATATATACTTAAGAATGTAACGATTCCATTTTAATTTATTTCCAAAACAAATGTAGTTTTTACTATGTCAATCACCAAGGATGACCGCAAAAAAGTGTGCTGTTTAAATCTGTAAATATTTAAATAACATATAGGGAAAATATACTATGGGCATTCATAATGCCATACATCAAACTCGTTCGTTAATAGGAAAGATCAGAGTACGCGCATACCTGGCATATTTGTAAATAAGAGAAAGGTAACAGCAGTCACCGCCGGAACATACGATTGCCAAGAAACTTTATTTCTGCATACCTAATTATTTATGCTTAGGAACACGTCAGGTTGTAGGACAATTTTATTTCGTATGATTAAATTGTATTTAAATTACTGTATTAATTCGTTTCAGTGAAGTAGCGGATAACTACATTTGTCTCTCTTCAAGTTTTGGGGATTACGCTATCCTGTCGTTTGTTCAGATATTCATAATTGATCTCATTTACGACATATTTTTATACATTCCTACCATATTTTTTATTATCTTGCCAGAATGTACTAATCCCAGTCACCTTTGCTTAATGATATCAAATTGTTATCATCTGTGATGAATGCCAACATAGGAATAGTATATGGCTATACAAGTCGTGGTATATTGGAGTAAAAGATGGGTACCCAGTAAGAAGGCCCAGATCAAATGCTGTACAAAACTTCACCATATAATAAATTAATTTTTTTAGAACTTACAGAAATACAGATCCTGCAAATAATGTAATAAAGCAATATCGTAAATATTGGTTGCAACATTTACACAGAATGCAAGAATACGAAAAAGAGTACTTCAGAGCAAACTTTCAGGAAGAAGTGATTTAGGAAGACCAAATAAGAGATGGCGAGATTTATTGTGCAGACGGAACAGGAAAATTACCTGAGCCATGAAGAAGAAGAAGAAATAGTATTTGCCTGCAAGTAGGTAGTTGGCCATTCTGATTAGTACCATATCCTATTGTATGTGTTGTTTTACCGCCAAAAATACATGCTTTTCTACTCTATGCATGGTATAGTACATGGGAAAACTTTGGCTACACAGAATTGGTTAGTCAGTTGGTGGTTGTAGTGTCATTGTTTAAAGTCAGCGTAGAGTTCAAATTGCTTTAAATCCTTTTGTAAGTAATGACAAGCGGCGCATAGTAAACATTAATAATTCCTTTTTAGGTTCTAATGACCATTGTGTGCATTTCAGAATTTTGAGAAAATGGCTAAAGTCCAGCTGTGTAACGTGGTTGTACTGGATAATCCATCACCGTTTCTCAATCCTTTCCAGTTTGAAATAACCTTCGAATGTATAGAGGAATTGAAGGAAGGTTGGTAGTTACAAGAATTTTTATTATCCCCAGTGTATATATCAAGATCAGTTGATTTATACACAGTACGTTTGTTTTCTAAAGCTGTCTTGTACGTCTTTACAGTGGTGATCATTTGTATATGTTACAGTTTTTAGGTTCATTTTGTTTCTACATGTAATATATATTATTAAAATCTCTCTAACCCATTGTTTTGATTTAATTTGAGGTTAAAAGTCCTAACAAAACATCTGTGCAGGATAGGCTGTTGACCCATTGTGACTCAAACGATTCTTCTGCCTTATTCTAATCATTGCAGATGTTTGTGCCACTTATACTTTTACCGCTGAATTCTTTCTTCATGCAAACCAGATTTCTGTATATGCAGATGCATGTTACAAAATTGTATTTGTTGCTGTTTAAGTTTTCCTTGCCACTGTGTTGTGGTCTCAGTTTTCTCGGACATGCATTAATGTGGCTTGTCATTATGTTATTAATGATATCTGTCTTGTTTTTGGTACTGAATTGCTGTAAAAAGTTTTAAATTTAATTTGGGGGGGGGGATTCATAAATTCATCAGTTAACATACTTTCTCTATGTATGCAAGAGTAAAGTTATTGCATAACACATACATTCTCTACCACATCTGAAGAGTCAGATGTAGAGTATATTTTACTATAATATGGAAAGGAAAGTCTTAAGTAAGATGTGCTTTCTTCTAGATTTAGAGTGGAAGATGATCTATGTAGGTTCTGCAGAAAGTGAGGAGCATGATCAGATTTTGGACACAATATATGTTGGACCAATTCCTGAGGGGAAGCATAAGTTTGTCTTTCAGGTAGGATATAATGTGATTCTTCTAGGGTTGAGGCAGC